GGATCAAAAATCAAAAGTGCATAATTATATGAGCTTAAATTACTTCTCACACCATCCTACTTTATGCAAGATTTTTTTTTTAATTTATTCGCGAAGCAGCTGCTCTTGAGTTGTTAGGTTTCCTTTGGAAGCGCTCGGGTAGTTGTCAGCAAATACCATCCCTCTTGGCTGAGCCTTTGGTGAAATTGGAAAGGCCTTCGGGCTACCAGTGCTAATTTTTTATTTAAAAAAAATAATCGAGTTCTTACAGTTGCTGTTGGCTCAAAAGAATTCGTTGCACCACATCAATCGGGTTTGAGATTTCAAAAGCTCAAACGGGAACGGAAAGGAACGCCTAAGCTAATGACTAGCAGCTTCTCGAATGAAGCTACCATCAGATCGGGATCGCGGCGTTAGAACTATAGTACCGTCCACCAGTTTTACAATTCTGACATCTTTTTTTTCCTTACCTGTGCTGATAGCCTTGAGAGGCTATTTTAGCTTCACCCTAGGGTGTAGATGAGCTCTCGGGACTCAAACCGGAAGTGTTGCTAATACTGGCCCTAGCAAGAGCACTGCTTCGCAGAATCTGCCACCGGATTGAAAACGCGACCCACTGAGAAGATCCGGCGAGAAACTCAGTGCGCTGTGTCATTGTGCTATGGGTCAATTCGCTCGACGAGCCCTTCGTCGCAAGCGACGTGCTCGACGAGGACGGTGATCGGTGCTTGAGGTACCTAATATAACCGTTAATCATTACGTGCGACAACTTTGAGTACGCTTCAAGAATATGAGAGCCGGACCAATCACTATTTTTATTGTACTCTTTCATAATTTAGTTGGCACTTTTGGCCTGCAATAAAGCACCCTATTTCAATGCTTTTAAGATCGGTCGCGAGTTTCAAGGTGGGTGGGTGGTGGTGCTCCCGTGTAAGATTGTCTGTGAATCTATTTGCGAATGAGTTCGACCGTGACGGAATAACGTATACTATAAAACATATCCACAAAATATATGTTCATTGTTATCGTTTACGGAGCCTGTTCACTTATTAATCGTTTTGTTTGCGTTTGTATTATTATATCAGCCAATCAGAGCTCTCGATTAATAAGGACGTGAGATATTGCACAAGGATTAATAAGATGCAGTTTACTAGTAAGATACAGCTCGTTTTTAGCTCATCAAAATTCATAGAAGCACTAATAATAGTTTTGTATGTATTTATAATTTTAATAAATTGATTCACGTTTTATTGAACTATTTGTGGTTATGACGTGTTATAATACATACAACGTTAAGTTCTTTCCACTGTGACGTTTGTAAAATGATTCAGAAATGCACACATGTCGCGCCCACGGATTCATAATGACGTATACCTAAACGATACTCAGAAAACATATCGGAATGATTCTCCTAATTCCGGATTTCGACAAAGGCAAATTCGTTTATGAATATCTTGGGATAAATCTTACGATATTTAATTTTACGTTTTATTGTGAAAACCTTGTTACGTTCATTCTTGTGCGAGAAAAAGAATGCTCTTCGATAAAAATAATGCTGTTCTACTTGATTCCTTGAAGATAAGAAATAAATAATGGAAATGACTCTGTTTTTAGAAAGCGTTACGGAACATTTGAAAACAATTTGAAAATTAATCAGCTGTTGTGTTGACGAGACGCCATTTTCTTTTTTTTTCCGTGAGATATTTTAATTAGACTTTTTGGCGGGAACACGAGAATTGAAGTTGTGTGATTTGTGTTTCTTCAGATTTAAGTGTGTAATAACGGTGGTTTATTAACTGTTTAATACCTGTGAAAGTGCACAAATGTGGGAAAATGAAACAAAAAGGTCTTACTTACCAGGTCATAAGTTCCTTAAAAAAACAAATTTTAATTGTGTATGTGTTTTGCCGAATAATGAGTATCCTAAACCCTTTTCGTTATCAACATGAGTAAAATCATTTGAAATGCTATATTTATATAATTGAGTACTTTAAAGGTGGGATAGTGATTTTTATTATTGATTTTGAAGGCAGCCAAGCTTTCGGCCCATTGAATGGTGATCGATCGCTCATAGAACACCAGTGACACAGTAGATTTTTCCTGTACGTACGTAGGTACATACGATCCGAACGTTGTGATGATTATGGACTCTGGCCGATTTAATACCACGCGACTCGAGAGCTCTTTCACCCATTTTTTTATTTCCTCGTTGCGCGGACGATCTCACGTTCCATCTGATGTTAAGTGGTTACCGAAGCCCATAGACTACAACGTAAATGGCGCCACACACCTTGAGATATGAGTTCTAAGGTCTCTCAGTGTTTACAGTACAACGGCTACCCCGCCCTTCAAACCGAAACACATTACTGCTTCACGGCAGAAATAGGCAGGGCGGTGGTACCTACCCGTGCGGACTCACAAGAGGTCCTACCACCAGTAAAGATGTTATTCCTTCACCGTGGATATGCATAGTTATATACCTTTAAATCTTCTTCTTCTTCTTTTTAGTCGCATACTTCATTGCTGAAAGTCGTGTTTCTGAAAGCCCTTCATGGCTCTTTGCACCATCAGCTTACATTTCCTTCGGTTTTCGGCTTCTCTCAGGGCGGTCGCAACGGCTACCCCGCCCTTCAAACCGAAACGCATTACTGCTTCACGGCAGAAATAGGCAGGGTGGTGATACTTACCCGCGCGGACTCAAGACGTTAAGATCATTAAGCCTATCCATTAAGTACATGTATTTTCTGCATGGATACCAAGTTTCAAGTCAATCGGATTCACGGTTCAGTAGCTATAACGGAACATCCGTAAAAACCACCGTAGATTTATATATTAGTATAGATATAGATCACAGTTTCAACTCATTTCATTGTTTATTGCACTACTTTACTTTCCGTCCCCGACTATCTATCTACAATCTACATTACGGAAACAAATAAATGGCTTATATTTATCACATATCAGTACACTAAAGGATAAAAGCAGCTGATTTTTCTATGTACGAATAAAGAGGTTAATAATACACGGTATAATTAGAGAATCGTTTCCGAACTGAATAAAACATTGTGTAATAAAAATCAACCCCGCAAAATTATAATTTGCGTAATTACTGGTGGTGAAGCAGTAATGCGTTTCGGTTTGAAGGGTGGGGTAGCGATTGTAACTATGCTGAGACCTTAGAACTTATGTCTCAAGGTGGGTGGCTGCATTTACTTGTAGATGTCTATGGGCTCCGGTAACCACTTAACACCAAGTGGGGCTGTGAGCTCGTCCATCCATCTAAGCAATAAAAAAATTTCATTTATTAAAAAACAACTTTACACGCTTTCATTAGCTCGATACGTTTGTTTCTATATAACGTGATCTTTGTCAAAGTCATCTTTACCGACCTCAAGATGTCCGATTAACTTGAAAATTTGCCCACGCATCACGATAAAAGATGGCAATAAAATAAGTTTATAACTTCAACTTTAATATCCCAGTATCTCAACGGGGATAAAAAAGATATAATATCGATGGGTGAAAGAATATTTGGTTTATACTGGTGGTAGGACCTCTTGTGAGCCCGCACGGGTAGGTACCACCTCCCTGCCTATTTCGGCCGTGAAGCAGTAATGCGTTTCGGTTTGAAGGGCGGGGCAGCCGTTGTAACTGTACTGAGACCTTATAACTTGTATCTCAAGATGCGTGGCGCATTTACGTTGTAAGTGTCTATGGGCTCCAGTAACCACTTAACACCAGGTGGGCTGTGAGCTCGTCCACTCATATAAGCAATAAAAAAAATAAACGACATTTCGCTTGATACGCGACATTTACTTTTGCAATCAAAAGTGCATTTTATTCGGAATTAGCATCAACAGTTCGATTTAACCCACAGACACAGCCCACTGAGTTTCTCGCCGGATCTTCTCAGTGGGTCGCGTTTCCGATGCGGTGGTAGATTCTGCGAAGCACGGCTCTTGCTAGGGTTCGTGTTAGCAACGTCGTCAGGTTTGAGCCCCTTGAGCTCACCTACTAGTTAAGGCTACGCTGATATAGCCTCTCAAGGCTATCAGCTTGGGTAGGAAAAAAATGTTCGATGTTTTTAATTGAACCTCTATTAATTTTTCCTTCATTCAAATAGCCAATGAAGTTTTTTATTAGAATATTGCGGTAGGCAGCGGCTTGGCTCTGCCCCTGGCATTCCTGAAGTCCATGGGCGACAGTAATCACTCACCATCAGGTGGGCCGTATGCTCGTCTGCCGGGCTATTAAAATTTATTAAAATTAAAAAAAATTAATTAAAACAAGGGCTATTAAAAACTTTTTTTCCTTCCAAATTTGATACTTTAAATGGCTCTCCTGTAAAGTTGCTAAAATGTCAATTAATAACCTTTCACCCCTCGATATGCAGTTAATTCGCGCTTGCTATTTAAGCGAGCTATTTTTATTTAGCTATAACTAAACAGCTTCTTCTTCTTTTTCTCCACCTTATCCCACTAGGTGGGGTCGGCACAGCTAATTTTTCTCTTCTATTCGCATCTATCAGCCGTCATGTCAACACTCACTCATCTCTCTCTCTCTCTCTCTATCTCTCTCTCTCTCTCTCTCTCTCATATCGTCATTCACACACTCCATCCATGTCTTCTTCGGTCGACCTCTTCCCCTCTACATTGCTTTTTTCCCCCCCTACCTATGCTAATAGCCTTGAGAGGCTACGTCAGCTTCTCATTGACGTGTAGGCGAGCTCACGGCGCTTTACCTGGAGTGTTGCTATCACTGGCCCTAGCAATAATTCGTAGAATTTACCACCGGATCAGAAACGCAACCCACTGAGAAGATCCGGTGAGAAACTCAGTGATCGTAACTACCATTTCCATACATCTTCCAAGTCACATGCATCTTTTAAATTAATTATTCATCATCATCATAACTAAACAACATTTTTATTAATTGGCGTAATGTACTTTTTTTTTAAATATTCCGTTTTACTCGGAAAGCACTAACCGGCTATTTGTTAATAAGAACGTTTCTCATCTCAGGTTCTAGAATGCAAAGAGAAGAAGTCCGGTTTGAAGCGAGCGCTGAAGGTGCTACACGACAGCGTGAAAGCGAGAAGAGAAGTTGAACTACACTGGAGAGCTAGCGGATGCAAACACATAGTTGAGGTGGGTGGGAGCGGTTGGATCGGCTTGGCTGCGATAGGCAGCGGCTTGGCTCTGCCCCTGGTATTGTTTAAGTCCATGGGCGACGGTAACTACTCACCATCAGGTGGGCCGTGCGCTCGTCTGCCTACAGGGGCAATAAAAATAAAATAAAATAAAAAACAAGAGATGGGAGGTACATCTGTGAGGGTAGTTAGAAATTGTCGAAAATGAAGTGTTTATTAGTGGTCCCGCAGTATTCAAAATTCGACTATAATTAATTGAAATTGTGGATTTGAACATTATTAAGGTTCTATTGTCACAGGCTGTTTATTATATTTCTATAATCACAGATTTTGCCAAGACTACACTATACCTAGACAAATAATATTTTTAAGGGTTTTTATGACCTATTATTAACTAAGACCTTTAGGTTGTGGTATGGTAGTGTGTGTAATGTTTTTTTAATTGATTTAATTATTAGTATTATGCACTCCTTCTCTATATTCTCTATAAGTGTGGAAAATTTTATACTCCTCCGTCTCCGCAATTTTCGTAAAAAGGGGTACAAAGTTATAGCTTCACGTATTAATATATAGATTACTGACCGACGGACGTCTAGGGCTGTCGCGAAGCAGTCGTGCATTGCGGTTTGAAGGGTGGAACAGCTGTTGGGCAATTGATACTTGGACCTCATGTCTCAAGTTTTTTTTGGGTCATCGTTTACTATGCACAGTTTCAACGGTAAGGTCACTGGTGTTGGCCACCGGTAACTAGGCTGCAATAGTTGAAACAACCCCGATGATACCTATTGCTGTATCTAAATAAGCTATTCAATAAGCTCTTTTGAAGTCGGTTAAAAAGCGTGATTTTGGTACCTTAAATAGCTCCTTAACATTCTATTATTCAAAAGTATTTTCACTTTCTACGTAAATGAAGAGGCGGGTAAAATTTAGCGTTGTGCCAAAATAACTATTCCACGCGAACGCAGTCGCGGGCAAAAGCTGGTATGATATAAAAGTCAATTTTCGTCAAAGAAAAAAAATAAGTCATCATATCAATATTCCTTCATCTGTTAAACAGGTTATCGATGTATACGAGAACGCTTACGGTGGCAAGACCTGTCTTCTAGTCGTGATGGAATGTATGGACGGTGGTGAGCTGTTCCAGAGGATCCAGGATAACAGGGACGGTGCCTTCACGGAGAGACAGGCCGCAGAGGTAAATCGTTCTTGATGCCTCAAAACTATTATACTAACCGCTCTTCTGTATTTTAGTAATGACTTTGGTTTTCGGGAGTCGTCACCACAATTATAACTAGGTTAAATAAGGCTTAATTAAACGTACTACTGGTAGTAGGACCTCTTGTGAGTTCGTAAGGGTAGGTACCACCACCCTGCCTATTTCTGCCGTGAAGCAGTAATGCGTTTCGGTTTGAACGGTGGGGCAGCCGTTGTGACTATCCTGAGACCTTAGAACTCATATCTCAAGGCGGGTGGCGGCATTTACGTTATAGATGTCTATGGGCTCCGTTAACCACTTGACACCAGGTAGGCTGTGACTTCGTCCACCCATGTATGCAATAAAAAAATATATCCACCACCACCACCAAGCATCCACATGAATTCATCTGGTGTTAAATTACCGATGTCCGAAGACATAGCAACGTGCACGCCGCGACCGATTAGGAAACGTGAGACCTACTAGTTCTTCAAGCCGATTCTTTATGCTGCTGTCCCGCCACCGAAACGGACATGGCGATAGATTTAACCATCAGCTAAAATCGGATACCGTACAATATTTTGCAGTTTCTTTTTATTTAAGGGATTTTATGACCTGGTTACTACGACCTTTAAGTCATGTCTTATTTTTATGAAAAATTATAATAAGGAGAAAATGAAAGGAGATGAAATGAAGATGATTAATTTGAGACATTAATCAAATGGGATGAAATTAAATGAAATGAGATTAGATGATATGGGATGAAATGTAATCTCAGTAAAATGGTGGTCATTTACTGAGATTTTTTTCAGTGAACTTTTTGGAGGATCCCGAGAAGTTACGCCCAGCGGCTTTGTTTCGTTTTCCCACATTAGTGCACTTTCACTGATGTTAAACAGTTAGTAAACCACCGTTATTACACATTTAAACCTGAAGAAACACTAAATAGACAAAATAAAACAAATCACACAACTTCACTCCTCGCGTTCCCGCCGAAAAGTGTTCTTTTGCAGTTTCCATAAAACAATCTCTGACTACCCTCGCACAGATAATGCACTCGATCTGTGTTGCCGTGAGGCACCTACACGACACGAACATCGCCCACCGAGACATCAAACCCGAGAACCTCTTGTACTCAAGCATGGAGCCGAATGCGGTGCTCAAGCTCACGGACTTTGGTTTCGCTAAGGAGACCTTATCGCCGGCAGACACTCTCCAGACCCCTTGCTACACGCCCTACTACGTCGCGCCCGAGGTGAGTATTCTGACCGCTAAATTTGTCTCCAATGAGGCCGTGTTGGATGTAAGCAGTGGTATTGTTGTTGTCCATGGGCCGCGGCAACCAAACCTTGGGACTGGCTTTAAGCCCGTATCTTGGGTTTGAAAGAGTATTCTAATCGCTAAATTTGTTTCCAATTAGGCCATGATAAACGTGGCATTGCTGTTGTCCACGGGCCGGGGCAAGCAAAACCCCGGAACTGGTCTTAAGCCCGTATCGACTTAAAACTGACTGTAAAATCCGTGATAAACGTGACATTGCTGTTGTCCACGGGCCGCGGCAAACAAACCTTGGGACTGGCTTTAAGCCCGTATCTTGGGTGTGAAATCTTATCAAAACAGTGACTCGTTTAGCTTAAGTTCGATTAGCTTTTGATGGATGTAAATGTGAAGAGTGGGAAAAAGGGGATTTAATATGTTATATCAAGTTCGTCCAGTTTTACGTAAAATGATTTAATATTATAAAATACTAGCCGTATTCGCCCGCTTCGCTGCGCATTTAAAATTAACATTATTATTTATTGTCATTATTATTAGGGAGTCCAACACTCATATAAATTAGCCTATCCATTAAGTACATGTATTTTCTACATGGGTACCAAGTTTCAAGTCAATCGCATACTTGGTTCAGTAGTTATTCCGTAAAAACCACTAGATTTATATATTAGTATAGATGTGTCTATCAGTGCGTCAGAGGGACTAATTGACATCTATGATTGTTGTTTCGCGAAATCTATGTGAGAGAGATAGGGAGAAGAAGAAAAAGAAACATGTAGATTAGTTGGTGACTTTTGACTATTTTTTATTAAAGAGGCGGTTAAATTACTTTTACTAGTGGTCCCCCAGTAGTCGAAATTCGACTGTAATTAATTGAAATTATAAGTCTGAACATTATTAAGGTTCTATTGTCAAAGACTGTTTATTATATTATTATAATCACAGATTTCGTCAAGACTACAGTATAGACAAATAATATTGAAGACAAACGACAATCTATTCTCAATTTGACCACAGACTTTGAACAATAACAAAAGTTTGACAATAAACAAAGAGTATATATTTTAGTGTTGTATCAAATACATGGTAATATTTTTATCCTTAAGTAGATGACCCGGCAGACTTCATAGTGCCTCAATCGATAAATAAAAAACCTAAACTTTTGTATAAAATAAACTTACAACAAACAAAAGGAATCGGTCCGCCGGGGGACACATCAAAGGGAAAACAAAATTGTTATTTTTATTTAATTCCGAGCACTTCCATATTTATCTAAACCTTTTAAACCTTCTCTGGACTTCCACAAATAATTCAAGACCAAAATTAGCCAAATCGGTCCAGCCGTTCTCGAGTTTTAGCGAGACTAACTAACAGCAATTCATTTTTATATATATAGATAGAAGATAGATTAAAAAAATATTAACGCTCTGTACTCCTTCTCTGTATTCTCTATAAGTGTTCGAAATTATTAAGCGTATTAAGCGAAATATCGCTTAAAAACCAAACAGCTTTACAGCCGTCGATATGCAGATCCTGTTGATGACGTCACGTTTTATTGATCAACGACGTCTCTCCTCTGACCTCCAGGTCTTGGGCCCGGAGAAGTACGACAAGTCCTGCGACATCTGGTCTCTGGGCGTCGTGATGTATATACTGCTGTGCGGATTCCCACCGTTCTACTCCAACCATGGTCTCGCCATATCGCCTGGCATGAAAAAGGTAAACATTTTAGAAGTAAAAATCGAAAACAAAATATTATTCGCAACATGTTTTCTCCTTCCATACTCTATCATTTCGACTTTCACCCAATCCATTAATTTTTTTCTTAGGTCTACCTCTTCCTCTAAACCCTTACACATTCCTAGTTGAAACTCTCTTAACAACATCATTGTCATATATAATTGTAAATAGACATGCTTTAACAAAAACCGACTGCAAATAGAAAAAAAAGATATTCCAAAACAAATTAATATACACCAAAAACAATAATCATCGAAATCGGTTGGCGTGATATTGAGTTATTTGTCGCGCACGTACTTAATGCAAATTTAAGACTTATACGGTTTTCTCATGGATACCATTATCAGTACTGAACTAAATTGAAATGGGACTACATGGGAAGCGTCAGCTTTCTAATAAATAAAAAAAAACATAGTCGAATTGAGAATCTCCTTTTTTGAAGTCGGTTAAAAATTTTTTAAGTGGACGACCGATTACTGAAGACAATACCCATCCACAACGTAAATGCGCCACCCACTTTGAGATATAAGTCTAAGGTCTCAGTATAGTTACAACGACTGCCCCACCCCTCAAACCGATACGAATGCGCCGGCCGTCTTATCCTTGAAGCCACGACGACTTCAACGGCTGTATTCAATTTGGGGGGTATTTACAATAAGGCAACATGAGTTCCGGAGCATTTGTCCATGTTACCGAGGCCCGTTGACACGTCGATTTCGCCAGCCACCTTCAATCGCGAGATTGAAGTCTCAATAATAGACTGACACCCTTTAAATCGAAGCCGATCCGATCTGGTGGTAGATTCAGCGAAGCACTGCTCTTTACTAGGGCCAGTGCTAACAGATTCTCTCAGGTGTAGTCCGTGAGCTTGACAACCCGTCCGGACTTGGCTAGAATAGCCTCTTAGGTTACCAACGATTAGGTATTAGGTAGGGGAAGAAAAACTGAATTCAAATTAATTCTTTTTTTCCTCTACCTTATCTGATAGCCTTGCGGGGCTATTTCAGCGTAACCTTAACTAGTAGGTGAGCTCACGGGGCTCAAGCCTGCTGACGTTGCTAACATGAACCCTAGCAAGAGCCGTGCTTCGCAGAATCTCGCCGGATCGGAAACGCGACCCACTGAGAAGATCCGGCGAGAAACTCAGTGGGCTGTGTCTGTGGGTTTTAATTCATGCTGTTTACGATCACTATCTGATTATCAAATTTGTGATTAATGAATCTAAGGAAATAAACTCTTGTGTTACAGCGAATCCGTCTGGGCCAATACGATTTTCCTGATCCGGAATGGTCGAGCGTTTCATCGGAAGCCAAGAATCTCATCCGGGGAATGCTCTCCGTCGATCCAGCCAAGAGGATGACCATACAGCAAGTTAGCAACGTATTAGATTGTGATATCTTTAGTAGACCCAACTACTATAGGACTAGAGGCTAGATGTAGGTCGGATCTGTGTCTGTTTGTGTACGAGAAGAGCTCGGGATCAGTACAGAGCTGCAGAGGACTGTGTCTATAGTAGTGTAGTATAGTATATAAACAGCAGATTTTAGGGATTCTGGTAACCGTACTCGTCAAACAGTTCAACGTACAACCTAATCCATCCATCAGCCCTCTCAGTTTCTCGCCGGATCTTCTCAGCGGGTCGCGTTTCCGATCATTTAGTAGATTAGTTAGATCTCCTTCAAAGGCACTCGGGCAACTGTTAGCTAACCCAGTCCTCTTAAATGATCCCATGCTCGCCCACTGGTCCTGGTGAATCTAGAAAAACCTCCGGGCCACCAGTGAGTAGGTTTCGTCTTTAACATAGCCATGTCCAACAGGTAATGTCCAGTCCGTGGGTGCGGCAGTACACCCAGGTCCCGCAGACGCCCCTCTACACGAACACGCTGCTGCGTGAGGCCGGAGACGCGTGGCCCGACGTCCAGGACGAGATGACCCGCTCCCTCGCCACCATGAGGGTAGACTACGACCAGGTACAGGCGAGTGTTGAACATGTCACGCTTCCTAAATACATTATCATCCGGCACGATCGATATAAGCTTTACGAGATGGCATGTTCACTGCTAAAGGTCACTCACATTGCATGATCATAACGAGCTTTCTAAAACGGCATGGACAGTACTAAATGTCATTTGACTTGGCATGATTTTTATATAAATTTTTTAAACGACATGATCTTTCATTTTCGGTGAGAAAGGTTATTCGCCTTGCATGATCATAACGAGTTTTCTGAAACGGCATGGTCAGTACTAAAGGTCATTTCACTTGGCATGATCAATATAAATGTTTTGAAAATGCAAGATCGTCATGTTCAGTGGTAAGGTCATTCGCCTTGCATTATCATAACGAGCTTTCAGAAACGGCGTGTTCAATGCAAAAGATCATTCACCTCGCGCGCTCAAAATTATGGGTCAATGTTTATTTATTTATTTGTGCTTTCTCAGAAGCATCGTACATAGTTTTCTTTGTTTGTATATCATAAATAAATTTTAAAAGTAAATGAGATAATAAAACACTTGCCGAACACGATTATCATGAGCTTTTAACTAACAAAACAGCGATTGAATTGAGTTTTAAAATAGTACATGTAACATCAATATATAACATATTATATCTCACGCAACATTTACATTGCATGATCAAAACTAATTTCGTAATGCTCAAGTTTAGTGCTCACATATTGTTATGACGCTCGCATGGTCGCACGTTAGCACTAGTTATACATGAGGGTCATCAGTTGCTCATTAATGTCATGCTCATTTTACGACCCTGGTCCACTCTAGTGAATATTATTGGAAGTGTGACCACAGAAAGACATTATGACGTGTTTTTTAATTGCTAATATGGGTGAACGAACTCACGACCCACCTGGTGTTATGTGGTTTTTAGAGCCCATAGACATCTACGACATAAATACCGCCACGCACCTCGAGACATGAGTTCTAAGGTCACATTTTTTAACAGTATAACTAACGGCTGCCCCGCCCTTCAAACCGAAACGCATTACTGCTTCACGGCAGAAATAGGCGGGGCGGTGGCACCTACCCGTGCGGACTCACAAGAGGTCCTACCACCAGAAGAAATCTTACTTCAATAATTTCGTTAATGGGCTAACGTATGGACCGTTCTGGTGTTAACTCACCGAAGGCTATAGACAATGTGAATGTTGCAATGATTCACGGTCTTATGCATGAGGGCTTACCAGCAACCTCAAACTTACGTTACCTCAACGTATTTCAATAATAATTAATGGAGTTGAACTGCGACTGGTGGCAAAGATTAGGTCGTCGAGGTAGCCGAACGTTTATGGCACGGTGGATGATTGGAGATTGAACATCGTGGCATTAAAAGGGGGAGGTCTATGCCCAGCAGTGGGTGGTCAAAGACGATAATATCAATATGCATATCGAGGATTGAAAGGCTATTTCATATAATAAGCGATATTTATTTTTGTAATTCAAGGTCCGTTTTATTTGGTATCAACTTCAATTAAGTTTATTCCATTCAAATACCTATCTGAAGAAGTTTGTTTGTTATGATATTTTCTCCAAGTTTTAAACTTGATGACTCTCCTGTGAAGTTGCAAAAAAATATCGCTAAAACAAAATAGCTTTTCAGCCGCCGATGTATGTGTGTATATATGAGGCCGTCAGCGCAAAAGTGGCCTAAACCACAATTCATATTCGTGCTTATTATGTAATGCAATTTATTTAAAACATAATAAATTTTGATGCAAATTCAAATTCAAAATCATTTATTTCAACTTAGATGTCAGTATAACACACTTGTTGAATGTCAAAATATAAATAACAATGTTAACTCTACCACCGGTTCCAAAAAAAGCCACAGTCCTGAGAAGAACCGGCGAAACAAACTCAGCGGGATTTTTTTTGTTTGTTCTCAATTTTTTTTTTAAATAAGTAAAAAAAAAAGAAAAATGGCCTATCCCTAGTTTCGTCCATAGAGTCAGTCTTTGTACAACAGTCTTTGTAAACATAATTTTAGCGCGTATTTTATTGCCTACGAAGTATTGTTAAGGTAAATTCGAACCTTATTATCTCCATACTAGCTATGGTAAGCTTAGGCCACTTTTGCGCTGACGGCCTCATAATATATAGACAAAAGTATTTTGCGATACATCCTTTAAGCTTTCTTTATTTCGACTTGGCCCTTTCAGGTACAAATAAAAGCTTTGGAGCAAAGCAATAATTCGTTGTTGAACAAACGCCGCAACAAGGTCGGAGCTTGACCGATCTGACGCATCGGACTTTCTACAAAGACTTTAAACAATAAACTAACTAACCGCCCGTTCGTAAATACATATAAAGTTTGATGTGGAGTTTGTGTGTTACGCGACACGACCCCGCCTTCTGGTAGGGGTGCCCTCACATGCGATCCCCAGAGGATCCCCGGGTCTTCAACTGGTCCTCTGACCAGGGGTCACCTCGGTGCTACTTCAGACTAAACTCTTCAGCTTGGACGTCCAAACAATGCTTTAAAACACAACTTCCGTGACGGTAGTCAAACAAAAAGCGAACGTGAACCGTATAGTCATAGAGTGAGCGTTGCTAATCGCGTGTATCAGTAGCAAAGTCTTCGATAAGAACTATGAAATTTCCTCTAGGTTTTTTTTTGTTAATATAATTTGTTTGTTTTAATAGATCATTGTTTATATTAACGAGATAACACAACAAAACGTCTCGTCCTAAATCAGTTTCAAACAATCCTAAGTTGATTTTTTTAATTGAAGACATGAGTGGATGAAGGGGTTAATCATTACCATTTTTAAGATTTTTGAGTTTTTACATTGAATGAAGGTTTTATGTGCCTATAAACCATATTAAACCTTAAAACTGCGGGCTTAAAGGCTATTTTTAGAAATTGCATGTGATGAAGGATCTGTGTACGAAGAAAAAGTACAAGTAACAAAAGTTTGTTGTCCGTTTTCTCAAAATTAACAAATTGTATCATGTCCCCTTCATCCACTCATGTCTTCAATTACTTGTTAATTAAAAGAGAAATGCTTTATCAAACTATACACATACATATCGAGGGGTGAAAGGTGGTTTCAGGGTGGCTTAAGCGACATTTTCGCAACTTCACAGCAGATCCATTTAAAGTTTAAAATTTAGAAGAAAAAAATCATAACAAAAAAAATCCTTGGGCTATTCGAATGGAGTAAAATTAATTGAAGTTCAATTAGAAGCATCGAATTGTTGATATTATAATACCAAATAAAAAGTACCTTTAATTACAGAGATAAATGTCGCGTGTTAAGCGAAATGTGGCTTAAATCAACTATATAGCCTTTCCCCTTCGATATCATTATCTTTAATTTGGTCTACAATTTTAGATGAATCCCTTAAGAAATCTTAACCCAAAAACCCTTCTAATTGGCTCGTCCTTATTCTATATATCTATGTAATGGGATTTTTGTACGCCATTTTAATCGACTTGAAGACGTCTGATATAATTGAGATACATGAGATATAATTGAGAACAAATCACGCACGGTCATCCGGCTCAAAATTAGGATTCTCTGTGATGTGGGTGCCAGAGTCTGACACACATATTTACTTATATACGTTAAAATGTGTACATACATAGATAATAAACACCTAGACGAAGAGAAAACAAATCTATTCATCACACTGCCCGATGCGGGAATCGAACTCACGACCCTCGGCGCATCAGTCAGGGCCGCTAATTACCGCTCCTTACCCTGACTTTCTCGCCGGATCTTCAGTGGGTCGCGTTCCCGATTCGGTGGTAGATTCTGCGAATCACTGCTCTTGCTAGGGCCAATGTTAGCAACACACCCGGTTTGAGCCCCGTGAACTCACCTATACGTCAAGGAGAAGCTGATATAGCCTCTCAAGGCTATCAGCGTAGGTAGGGAAAAAAAACTACACCACTGAGTCAATCTAAGATCTTTCAGTAAGACCGGCTTGCATGTAACACATTCTGCATACGAATCGATACGATGATCTTACAGGGTATTCCCCGCTTGCGATCATGGTTATAGATACATCAAATTCGAAATCTCCTCCTTCATCACGCGATTCGATGACTTAATCCTCTGAACATACGGTTCAATTCGTCTACTTGAAAAGCTACTCGCCGACTACCGATGCTTCGTTCAATGCTCGACGTAATACAGTGATAATTGAAGACTTAAACATTTCATCTCTACTTAAAAAAGAAACTTTAATGTATTATGAATATATTATTTGTAACAAGTTCTGTATTTTCGGCAGTACATACTACGTGTCCACATTTTATTTGTATATACTGGTTGTTAGGAGACCGCTTCTGAGAACGAAGACAGACGATAGTACTAATGACACCTTTGATGATGAGACGGAAAAAAATCAATCCTGATTTTGAAAAAAAAAAAACTCATAAAACGTTTTACTAGCATTATTTACGCTCTATCGTGTTAGTACAGCTAAATGAAACGATACGTTTCATAAAAAATACATTAATTTACTTTTAAAAAAGAACCAGCAATGAAACACAAAATCAAAACCAGCTGATGATCGGGTCAACGAACGCCCGGGCGCGGCGCTGATACCGCGCTCCCCAAATTTACAACTTTGTCGGTACAAAATTTTCGTTTTCTACAGCGATCTCCTAACACCCAGTATATATTGTTATATCGAGAGGTAAAAGGCTATTTGGATTTAAGCGAAATTTTCACAACATTACAGAAAAGCCATTTAAAGTTTATTGGAAAAAATATCTTGACAAAAAGAAAAAAAAAACATTTTCAGGTATTCGAATGGAGTAACTCAATTGAAGTTCGATTAAAAACATCAAACTGTTGATGCTAATGTCAAATAAAACGGACCTTTAATTCTTCTCTCTTTTTCTCCACCTTATCCCACTAGGTGGGGTCGGTACAGTTAATTTTTCTCTTTCATTATCTTCTATCAGTGGTCATCTCAACACTCAGTCCTCTGTCTCTCGTATCGTCATTCACACACTCCATCCATGTCTTCTTCGGTCGACCTCTTCTTCCCTCTCTAAACGGACCTTTAATTACAAAGATAAATGTCGCTTATACCACATAACCTTTCACCCCTTGATATGTTACGTATATATACTCACGTTACGTATATATTTTTATGTAAATTTACAATAAATAATAGTTCAAATATACATAGATTCTAAGATTAATGTTACGTACTTACGTATTAAACTTTAAGGTTGTATGCAAGAATTAAGCTTGTGATAATAAAGTAGTATTTCAATGAAATATTTAGTTGGTGTTACAATAAATATAATGTGTTTAAGTTCGGCTAGCATTCGCTCACACTATAAGTGAATCCTCCTATCTCATTCTCACTCAGGCTAAATCCTATACGTCTATATGTTTGTCTCTTTTTAGTGTCGTTTTAACGTCCATTGCTGTTTTTTTTTTTTTTACTGAACGCATATCGGCAATGGAATTCCATGTAAAATTTAAGCTCTAATCCCGTAAACATTTCAATGCAAGCTCGTAAATATGAGCCTGTTATATAAAAGTATATTTAAAATGCAATTAGAACATTAGTATTGACTAGGAAATTTTAAAAGCGAAATCAAAATTAACGTCCCTATAAAATATTTTTACGTTCGTATAAACGATTCGATAAATAGAGTAAGAATTAATTTAATTGAATTGCAATTATTTCATTCAAAATTGTATATTCGTTAGAAACTGCTTTATTGTAATGTATCATTAATTGTGTAAATACCAAGGTGCAAATTACACTCGCAGGCAATGCTAGAAGTGCTCTGACTATGAGTAACAAAATAAAAATATTTTTTTTTGCAGTACGCAATGTAATTCAATTAAAAAACAACTGACACTTGAGGTCAACGCACTCTTGTGACTCTTCGCTTCATTGCGTAACCTATTTTATTTCGCAAACATACTGACTATACATAATATTTATATTATTATTATTTATTTATTTATTGCCCTTGTAGGCAGACTAGCATCAGCCCACCTGATGGTGAGTGATTACCGACGCCCATGGACTTCAGCAATGCCAGGTTCAGAGCCAAGCCGCTGCCTACCGGATTAGTAATTTCGTAGGCCTGTCAAAGTTAATGACTATTATCTTAAGTTTCCATAATGTTTGACTATAGTATGGACGGGTATAACTCCAAGTAACGTTTTTTTTTTTAACATATCCTTAATCGTCAATCTAAACATCTAAAGCTATCACTTTAGTGATAATAAATTATGAGTATAATTAAAATTTATTTTACGAGCGTTTAAAGTCGCGTTTTTTTTCTTCATTATCATTATTGTACTGTATTAAAATTAATACATATATTCATAATTTGTCACAAAAATATTTTTATATATCACTTTTTGTGTGTAAACTTTACATTACTCATTAATATATTATGTCTATAGTCTTTTTTGGACATGGGTTTTGTGTGTATATACAGTATTCGTTGTAAAAATACTTATATTCAAATTGAATTTTTATTTTTTCGTTTTTTCGCCAATCAAAGCGATATAATAAATTGCTTATTTTTATTTAATATCTAACCGGACCTATAACAGGATATTAGCTCGTTCAATCACTGTTTGCTTTTGTAACGACAATTTATTGAGTCAACCAAACGCAGCTTACATGTATGAATTTACTGGTGGTAGGACCTCTTGTGAGTCCGCACGGGTACCACCACCCTGCCATTTCTGCCGTGAAGCAGCAATGCGTTTCGGTTTGAAGAGCGGGGCAGCCATTGTAACTATACTGAGACCTTAGAACTCATATCTCAAGGTGAGTGGCGCATTTACGTTGTAGGTATTTATGGGCTCCAGTAACCACTTAATACCAGGTGGGCTGTGAGCTCGCCCACACTTTAAGCAATAATAATTAAGCAATATTAGCCCCAAATGACGTCATAAGTGACGTAACGTGACGTGCCACCAAATTTTCGCGTGTGGACAGAGAATTTCAGTTCCCTCTTCCACGCTTACATCTTAATCCTATTATATTATAATTAGCTGACCGAAAAATTGGCTTTGAATATAATAATATTTTTTTTTTTTGTCTCAAATATATGTTAGATTGAAAATTCTGGTGCGAAAAACTAAAATGTTGATGAATGTGTTTATTAAAGAATACGAAAACAAATCATTATTTTTATATTTTACATCACAAAGCCATTATTAATATTAGTTTAAATGTTATTCGTAATTATTAAGGTATAATATGTACTTATTTAGAATGTAGTTGAATAAATGTTAGAATCGGTTTAGTTTTTATTGGTTGAAATACGGCGAGGCTCAAAAAACAAGCGTGAATCTACCCGCACGCTCTGGTACCGCAGTCTCTGTGCTTAGTGCGAGTTTTTAACGTTCTCGCTCGCGTAAAAGTTAACTCAAATTCGTATGGAGTTGGAACAGCGCCCCTAGCGGCGAACGAAGGGAAGCTGGTCCAACTCCATACGAATTTAAGTTAACTTTTACGCGATCGAGAACGTTAAAAAACTCGCAAACGAAGGGTAGCTGTTCCAATTGCATACAAATTTGAGTTAATGTTTTACGCTATGAAGAAGTTAAAAAACTCACACTAAGCACGCTGAGTAACTAATGACCTGATAAAACGCATACGTCAAATTCATTCACAATCTTTACATAAATGTTTAACATTTTGAGTGAGTGGATTTTGAAATTCCAATTGAAGCCACTAGAGCCAAAGTATTGAGGTAATAAGTACGGAAGCCTTGATTTCAGATATAATATTAAAAAAAAAAACTGTTTAAAATTGTAGTTTATACAATATTTTTAAAGTTTAAAGTTCTTTGGCCTTTAATTTATAAAAATGCAATCATAGTCTAAATTATCTACTACAAATATATCCTTACTTAAATAAACAATAATTAAATTATGCTTATTTCTTTAATTTCGATATGTTGTCAACTATTTCATTGTTGTTTGTGCCTATAATCGAAGTATCAGTGACCAAGTATTTCTTGTCAATTTGTCGATATATTATATTGATAATCGCTTTGTTGGTACAACTAACTAAATAAATAATGAAATTTAATCACAATATTCTCTTACTTGATCAATTATTGCTATTTAGTGAATTCTTACCGCGATTTCTGGTTTAATGTGTATATTTTGTGGACACGAAATCCAATGGCAACCCCCAAAAATAGACTAGAACGAGGGTAAACCGATTTTTATCTGCTCCTAAAATATCGCAGTCTTCATTCTACTTGCAACCGTCGCGCTTGCAACGCGTCATATTTTGAGCTCTTTAAATCCAACTATTGTGATAAGAACCCCTTGATGTTAGGGCTTATAAAGCTCATAAACGTAACATGAAATAGCACCATCTTCGACCTGGTAACAGTAGCGCGTCCCAGTTACTTGGACGGGGTAGCTAATAAAAACGAAAACTCAATATTTGAAGATTAATTTAACTGAAGGTGACATGTGATAGCCGTGTAGTTGAAAGACAACTACCCTACTTTCGCATTTGTTGGTAGCAAATAACATAGATAGCTCTTATTTCAATGCGGTTAGAGCTTAAAATCAAAACTTGAGTTTTGAGTACTTAATTCGTTACCAAGGAAATTCATTGTCCGAGTACCAGTGGCTGCAGAGTGCAGTGCAATGTATGAAAAAGGCTTATTTTGTTTGATTAATTGCCTTGGACTGTAGTTGCATCTTCAGCCGTTCTCTAAACACATTGATATAGTCAGCTGTAGTGACAAAATCCTCCAATACTAAAACATCTAAAGTTACACTACAATTAAACTAGATATTAGTTTTAGTATGCGTCCAGTGACGAACACATATTACACTTAATTGAATGCATTTAACATCACGACGCCAAATATGTTTAAACACTGATGAATCCCTATATTTTGGGTTAATATAGTTGTAACTGTTCTATGTATAATAAAAGAATACCGTTTAATCATTGTGTTTTTTTTTCTGTTTCCTGTTTTTATTTTATTTTTTGAATTGGGTAGGTATTAATAAATGATGAGGCTTATTATGGCCTAAAGGATAAGACGCCCGCCCGGTGCGTTCGTAAGTCGAGCAATGCGACTGTGCCGGTATTCGTATCCTGCAAGCTGATATCCATTTTGTCTAATGAATTACATCTTAACAAATGTTCACAAATGAAGAAGATAAAACAGTCGAAATAAAAAAATTAAAATAAATCTTATTTATTAAATAGACGTCCTTGTCGCGAACTCTATGATTGCGACGAAGAGTTTGGCGAGCGAACTAACCTATAGATACAGCCCACAGAGTTTCTCGCCGGATCTTCTCAGTGGGTCACGATTCCGATCTGGTGGTGGTACTGCTCTTGCTAGGGCTAGTGTTAGCAAGTCTCCCAGGTTGAGCCGGTGGGCTTATCTGTCACCAACCAATCCAAGAGTAACTGGATTAGCCTCTCAGGCTACCAGCGAATAGGTAGGGACAATAATAGTAACTAATAATAACTATACTAGTAATAATAGTAGCTACTTGAGACCTTAGAACTTATATCACAAGCACATTTGCGTTGTAGATGTCTGTGGACTCCAGTAACCACTTAACACCAGGTGGGTTATAGGCTCGTCCACCCATTTAAGCAATAAAAAATAATAATAATAGGACTGTATAAATTAGATGCTGGAGAATCATGATTATGCCTGCCTATTTCTGCCGTGAAGCAGTAATGCGTTTCGGTTTGAAGGGTGGGGCAGCCGTTGTAACTATACTGAGACCTTAGAACTTATATCTCAAGGTGGGTGGCGCATTTACGTTGTGGATGTCTATGGACTCCAGTAACCACTTAACACCAGGGGGGCTGTGAGCTCGTCCACCCACCTAAGCAATAAAAAAAAAAACGAGGTAAGTGGAGAATGAGATAAGCGTTAATATTAAAACCTATGATGTCATTAGCACACATCTAAGAAAAAATACCTCTCCACATCTACAACTTATCACTAATCATACCAACACTTACTGGTACCTATTTCTACCATAGCGGGTATCTAACGGTATACAAGTATCACTCAAATAAATCAAAAAAAAAAAGGAAGTATAATAACTAGATTAATTGATAAGAAAAAGTCATGAAGTCAAATGTGCAAAAGCAATAAGATGAGACGCGCATATTCAATTCAAAAGTTCAAAATGGGTCATTTGATCCGCTATGGTATGTATATTAGACAGTGCATGAAAATAATCTTTATTTTTAGGTCAAAATAAAACGGAAATCATATGAAAAATATCAAAAATTTAATACCAAAATCCAAGTGTATAAAAATAGTTAACAATTAACCATACCTCTTATAATACAGACCGCTACCGAAGCCATTTAAAAACTACTAACAAAAAGTCTATTGACATTTTTTTTGTTCAGATTTATACAGCGCGCAGTAACACAAACCGCGTCTTGTACGGTCATATCGCTCACACCCAACAAAAGCTAAAATATTAGCATTCAAAGAACCCTGACTATACACACTAGTTACATTAAAAAATTAAACATTAACAGAAAAAAATTGCTAACAAAAAATCAACCAACGAGAGGCTCATTTTGTAAGCTTAGCCATTAACAAAACTTGAAGAAACTTATTTTAGTGGCAATTCTAAGAGACTTGGACAAGTTCTCGGCCTATGAATCAATTATAATATGTTAAGTTATCAACATAAGTAGGTCTGCAAATCGTCCAGTCCCACATCCCCGCGCGACCCCTAGGTGCGGGTGCCTCGGCGGAGGTTCGGCCCCCGCCCAAAAAAACCCAACACAAGTAGACATTTTTGTCTCAACTAAGAATCACAAGTTCAGAGTCCAGATACGCACAATGTATCCGGACTCTTAGAGAGGGTAGATTTTAATTTTGAATTAATCCTTTTGGGGACTTTTTAGCGAGAACGCGGGGCGTGAAGTTGTGTGATTTGTTTTATTTTGTCTATTTAGTGTTTCTTCAGGTTCAAATGTGTAATAGCAGTGGTTTATTAACTATTTAGTATCTCTGTGAAAGTGCACAAATGTGGAAAAATAAAACAAAGCCGCTGAACGTAACTTTTAAGGGTCCTACAAAAATTCCATTGAAAAAGTATCAATAAATGACCATCATTTTACTGAGATTCCATCCCATATCATCTAATCTCATTTCATTTAATTTCACATCCATAATATAATTTTTCATAAAAATAAGAATATAAATTAAAATAAGACTTGACCTTAAGTCTTAGTTACCAGGATATAAAATCCCTTAAAAAAACCCTTCTAGTACTGAGCTTATTTACACAGATTATGCAGAAATTGCTTGAAGGATTTTTGAAAAAATTTAATAATTTTCCTCCAAACGATTATTGTTAGTTTCTACACAAATTACGGAAACACTCCTCACAAGCATAAGGTCGTATAGTATGTTTTTAGCGAATATCGCTTTTATACGCCACCTTTTTTAAATCATTTGACTTTCTCTTGCGGCCCCAACTCTATAGTATTTAGATCATTTACTCAAAACTTCAGGATTAGGTCTTTAAAGCAGAAATATCTACTGAAATATATTCTGGCAAGATTCATTTTTATCTGTTATAATCTGCAACTTTCCTCCGAATTTCGATAAATTTGATTTTTGTTGTTTAATTTTAAGAAGTTTTTTTTTATTCCTTATAGCTATACTTAATAAAATTAAACACTATAAGTAAACGACTGTCGCCTAGAAAACGCCGCCCCAACAAATAATTAAATTGACAAAATGAAATAATTGACACATATTGACACCTCGGGTTCCCGCCAAAAAGTCTTACACCACAGACTATGCAATACAGTCGGTCTCATTCAGAGACGGAACGTCGGGGCGAGCGGTTGTGTCATCATCAGCTGTACTAACACTAAGCACGTGACAATATTACCAAGCCAACTAAACTATATCGAGGGGTGAAAGGCTATTTATTATAAGCGACATTTCACTTAATACACAACATTTATCTTTGTAATTAAAAGTCTGTTTTATTTAACATTAGTCATCATCAACAGTTCGATGTTTTTAAACTCCAATTAAGTTTACCCCATTCAAATAGCTGAAGAAGGTTTTTTTGATTATGAAATTTTTTCCAAATTTTTTAACATTAAATGCTTATTCTATAAAATTGCAAAACTGACGCTCAAACCAAATTGCCTTTCATTTATTTACCACGTAAAAAAATAGGTTCTCAAACGATACGATTCCAAACATTCAACTTTTATTAATGTAGCCTAAAAATAATTCACAAGCAACTGTACAGAAAATAGATAATGGGAGCGATCCAGATCGATCCTAACATCGTGAGTCCTGACACGCACGAAAACAAATACCAAACTAAAGTCAGAACCGAAATCTGCCACAGAATATGGAATATCATTAATCTGAAACAAAAAATAATAATTATAATCCACCATTTGTCTGGTGGTAGGACGTCTTGTGAGTCTTCACGCGTAGGTATTACCACCCCGTCTATTTCTGTCGTGAAGCAGTAATACGTTTTGGTTTGAAGGGTGAGGCAGCCGTTGTAACTATACTTGAGACTTTAGAACTTAAAGCTCAAGGTGGGTGGCGCATTCACGTTGTAGATGTCTATGGGCTCCAGTGACCACTTCCAGGTGGGCTGTGAACACGTCCACCTATCTAAGCAATAAATATAACAACCTTAAAGTTTGAATACTGTGGACCCGCAATGGTGGACGCGCAAAACGCGAAGGTCAATGAACTTACAAAAAGTTCTATTTACAAAAATACTCACATAGTATCCTTGTTCCTGGCGGCTTTCAGATTACCCTCCTTTTCGTTGTTCAGATACCTTCTCACGCCGAGGTGGAGATTCATAAAGTATTCTTCCCACTAGAACAAAAAATAATAATAATAAATCTGTAACTACTAAAGTGTTAACAAGTGTTGCCAATTATTTTGCATAACTTTTTTTTAGGATACAGCATGTTCTTTTTATGACGAAGCGATTTGTAATATCATCTAGGAGGACTCCTAGACACCGACTCAGCTCTCGCTATAGTGGTTTTTAAGTAGATAAAAAGAGGGGGGCGATAAAAAATAATTTATTCTCAGTGGGCAGTAGATAGTTCTGGTCTATACGAATGCACTGTATGGACATCAGACTTTTTGGCGGGAACGCGTGGAGTAAAGTTGTGTGATTTGTTTAATTTTGTCTATTTAGTGTTTCTTGAGGTTTAAATGTGTAATAACGGTGGTTTAACTGTTTAATATCTGTGAAAGTGCACAAATGTGGGAAAATGAAACAAAGCCGCTGGACGTTACTTCTCGGGATCCTACAAAAAGTCCACTGAAAAAGTATCAATAAATGACCACCATTTTACTGAGATTATATTTCATCCCATATCATCTCTACTCATTTCATTTAATTTCACTCCATAATATAATTTTTCATAAAAATAAGACACGACTTAAAGGTCTTAGTTGCCAGGACATAAAATCTCTTAAAAAAAAAGTCTGAACATCTCATAATTTTGCCACAAAGACTTAAAACTCACATATAACTTCGATATGTCTATAAAGAATGTTTGCGCGTCCGTCTTGTTCAATTCCTTGGCGAGCTGCTGAGTGTTCGTGTTGTGGAACTTCCACTCGCTAAATATAAACTTTTCTAAGCGATTCAAGGAATTCCACACGTTTTTGTGTAAGCGTATTAATCTGTAACAAAAAATATAAAAATATTTTTTTATTTATTGTTTTGTTGGTATTTGGGTAAAATATTGTAATTCGTCTTTTCGCATTAAAAGTGTACAATTTCTAAAAATATTCGAAATTGAGTTAATATGCGGAATCATTTAGTATCACCAGTAATTTTTCTCATAAATACTGTCAAAAGAGCGTAGTTTAGTTTTTAGTTTCTTTTTTTTTAAATACCTATGTTTTGACTACTATTATCAAAATTAATACATGGTTTTATCTTACTTTAAAAAACAGATAATGTACCTGGTAAAAAATAAAAATAAAAATGTTGCAAAGATGATTAATATTAAAAATATCACATGTTAAACTTAAAAAACACTCTCCTGTAAAATTAGTAAGTTTTGAGATTATACAGTTTTAATGCGAGAAGACTATATGTGAAAATTACATTAAGAGACTTTTTATTGCCTACATGGTATCGAATTGTGACCGGACGTCACAACGCACTGACGTGACAATTCCTTAGTCGACAGGACACCCCCGGAGAGATATGAGGTGTCCAAATCAAATCAATTTTTTTTTATTACTTGTTGAACGTCAAAAAGAACTATCGCCAATTCACAAAACTAGCTTCCCTCCTGAGAAGAACTGGCAAGAAACTCAGCGGGCATGTTTTTTTTTTTTAAATACTAGTTTATTTTATATATATTAGTTTATTTTTAAATATTCATTATGACATTCATTATAACGTAACAATTATTGCAATATTGAAATGCCCGGAGCGAGCAACTCATTCCCACTTTGTGCAATCTATACTAATATATAAATTTACAGTAGTTTTTACGGATGTTCCGTTATAACTACTGAACCGTGCATCCGATTGACTTGAAACTTGGTATCCATGTGGAAAATACATGTACTTAATGGATAGGCTAATATTTATATGAGTGTTGGACTCCCTAATAATATAATTTTGACAGAAATAAGAATTTTGTCTGCCCCGTGAAGCATTGTATATATTATTATTAAGAACACAAGTGAGTCGACTATTATCAAAGCCGGCAATCAGACTTTTGGACAATGATTGGTAAATCAGAAAAACGAATTATTGACTTTGTATTCCGTTGGCAGTCACAAAACTCTTCGGAACGACATCTTAGATAAATAACAGGTTAAGTATTAACCTTTATTTAATGCAGGTTTTGAACCGTATTCTTTGAAGGAGACGATTATATTCAAATCAATCTGTATTGACATATCAATAACATTTTTTTGTCCAAATGCACAGATTGCCACCTTTGATAATAGACGACTCAAGTATTAGTTTTTGTCTAACATAAATTATTGCATAATTTTTTTTAGATAAAATATTAAGCAATACTGATACACATTATCAGGGGCCGGTGGGAGCCAAAATTTTCTCCCGGACAACCGCTCTTTTCAGCGCCTCCTATTCGAAAATATAATTATGATAATTGAACAATTACAGTATGTATAATAGTCGCACAATATAAAATCAGAAAAAAAAAAACTGTTTGGCCCGAGGTCAGATTTTCATCTGCAATGTGGCCCGACTATCAAAATAATTGCCCACCCCTGTTCTAGATAATCATTGACTTTGTAGTAAGCTTTGCACAGACTCCATCCTAGACCGCACAGCTATTAGTGGATATGACGATGGTCACTCACATGGGCCTGCCTCCGGTCACCCTCAGCATCATGTCGAGGAGGAGCGCCGGGAAGAAATGGACAAATATGGCCGACAGACGAAACAGCCACAGGGAGGGGACGAATTTTAAATGAGGGTACCTGAAAAAAAGTCGATTTATTCATTATGCAATGGCATCAGCACTATACATTTTACTGGTGGCAGAACCTCTTGCGAGTCCGCGCGGGTAAGTACCACCACCCTGTCTATTTCTGCCGTGAAGTAGTAATGCGTTTCGGTTTGAAGGGTAGGGCAGCCGTTGTAACTGTACTAAGAGTAGAATCGTCTCAAACTTTTTCGTCTGTGTGTTGCATGTCGCGTGACGATCGGCTGCGGAGTAGGGATAAAGTGAAAGGCGCTCGTCAGAGCAGCCAAGGCCAATATGGCGGCGCCTATCGTTCACAGCAGCTGACCGTGTAGCGTATAGAAGACTATTACTCATTTGTGCCAGTGCTCCACGCTATTTTGTTTGTTTTTGTCAGTGTTTAATGTAAATGTTGTTTGTCAGAATTAAATGTTTATAATCTGAAAAAATGTTTTACTTTTACCGTGGTTGCATAAAAACCACACAATCCTTTTTCTTTTATTGATCAGTGTGCTTGGTGAGAGTTTTTTCTGCGTCGTTTGCTCTGAGTTACATGCCCCTGAGTGAAACTTTTTGTCGCTTACGCGGTAGTGAAATTATGGATATGAAGCATTTTTTTTTTTCGTTGTAAATTTTTTAATTATATTTTTTGCCTACCCACTGCTAGTAGCCTCGATGAGGTAATGCTAGCTTCAGAGAAGTGTAAGCGAACTCCCGGGACCAACCTGAGAGACTTTACTGTCACTAACCCTGGCAACAAATTAGGACTTGTATGATTTATTATTTTTTTATTTTCTGTGTTTAGTTACACAACAATTAAATGCCTTAACTTTAACAACATATCAGTTTAGGGGCATCCGTGAATAGATGTCGTAGATAGTTTCCATCCAAAAAGTCCCTAGAATTATCAAGAACATTCCTCACAAGTCGAGTAATTTTTATGCGTTTACACCATTTGACAATAGATGGCGTTGTACTTCACGACCGTTCTCGGTTTTTCTAGCTCTTTTGATATTCGTTTCTACTATTCGACGATAGATGGCGTTGCTCTTACCGGCGTAACAGTATTAGTAAAGTCGAGTGGGCTTAAAAGAAGAAAAAAAACACCTCCATAATTCTATTAGAGATATGTTGGTAGATTCTGCAAAGCACTGCTGTTGCTAGGGCTAGTGTTAGCAACACTCCGATTTGAGCCCCGTGAGCTCACCTACACGTTAGGGCGAAGCTGAAACAGCCTCTCAAGGCTGTCAGCATTGGTAGGAAAAAAGGGCCATGAGTGCTTACCAGACGGCGCTTTTCAGTGGATACTTATGCAGCATTCCATTGATCGAAGACTCTATCATCGACCACTTAAACGGCTTCTGAGTTGATGACGAACAGTGATACACCGTAAGGCCGGATCTGCAATGGAAAATGTATATCTGATTCGGTGGTGCGGTACTTAGCAAGCCTGGCTGTTCCGAGGGTAGCGGATTCGATTCTCGTATCGGGTCAACATTCGTGTGATGAACAGGTTTGTTTGTTCTTTAGGTGTTTATCTCTACTAATATTATAAAGAGGAAAGATATGTTTGTTTGTTTGTTTGTATTGAATAGGCTCCGAAACTACTGAACCGATTTGAAAAATTCTTTCACTGTTTGGAAGCTACACTATTCCCGAGTGACATAGGCCATAACCTTTTTTTTTTTAATTTGTGATCCTTACTATAACTCCAATGATGTAACGCAAGGTGTAAAAAAATTACCTAAAATATTCTTTACATCGCGTGCCCAGCGAAAACTATTGATGATAGAATAAAATAATGTATTACGTCTTTGTAGAACACATTATTTTTTACAAAAAGTGTAGGGGCAGCATATGTCTGACTATTATAGTGATGCCACAATAAGTGTTCATTTATTTAAAAAAATAAAACCAGGTCAAATATCGTTTACAAGGTAGCTTTTTTATAATTGTGAGATTACTGGTGGCCCGGATGTCTTTCCAGTTTCACAAGGACAGGTGGGCGAGCAAGGGCTCAGACAAAGCAAGGGCTCAGCCAGTACAAGGAAGCTCTGACTCAATAAGCTCAATGGCTTTGGTTTTTTATTTATGTCCTTTTTACGAAAATTAGAGATATAATAATAATAAAAAAAAGATAAAAACAAATATTATTTAAATGAAAATAAAAGTTTTAATAAAGAAAAAAAAAACTCAAATTATCTTTATAATTTTCTATTTTTAGAGACCTGACGCAAATATAAGGGTTAATTAATGTGTGTGTATTATAATTTTTTGTTTTGAATTTTTTGTTAAAGACCCGAGCGAAACCGGAGCGGGCCGCTAGTTATCTACATACGTATGTATGTAGAATTGGGATCGTGGTATACAAAATAAAATTATTCCACTGTTGCACTTTTACACTTCTTTTCTAAAATCTTCTCTAATATAATAATTCAAAATTAATTGACACCTTTTTACGCTTTGTTCATTTAACCGTCTCCACCATCTTCCTTTTCTCTGTCATTCTGTCTGTCATCATCTTTTCCTTCTCTTACCGTTTTCTCTCACTCACATCTTAACGCTCCGTTCCACACACTTTTCATACACATTATTCCATTCTTACGAAACCTACATATATTATATATATTTAAACGTATATAAGTATGTTTGTTAGTCTCTGGTGTACATAACAGAGGGAATCCTAAATTGGGGCCGGATGATCTGCGTGATGTATCTACAGTTATTTATTATACAATAGCTGACCCGGCAGACGTTGTAGTGCCTCGATCGATAATTAAAAGACCTAAATTTTTGTATAAAATAAACTTAAAACAATCAAAAGTAATCCGTCCGACGGGGGACATATCAAAGGAAAAACAAAATTGTTCTGGACTTCTACAAATAATTCAAGACCAACTTTAGCCAAATCGGTCCAGCCGTTCTCGAGTTTTAGCGAGACTAATGAACAGCAATTCATTTATATATATATATAGATAGATAGATGGATATGTGAGCGGCACCAAACAGTTTGACCACTGGTGGGTGGCGCTAGTGTCGCGCGTGCTCACAGTGGAGTCCGCCTTCGCTCAGGAGCGCTCACCGTGCGCTGGCGGCGTGCCATCCGGCGACCAGCAACTGGTTCACGACCACGTCCACCGGGATGTAGTCGGCGATGTTCTCTTTCGCCAGCGGCAACCTTCGCACGACACCTGGAAACAAAGGTACGGTATCTCTTTAGACTTTGGGTGAACGAGCTCATTGTCCACCTGGTGTTGAGTGGTTACCAGAGCCCATAGACATGTACAACGTAAATGTCGCCACACACCTCGATAAGAGTTCTAAGGTCTCAGTATAGTTACAACGGCTGCCCCACCCTTCAAACCGAAACGCATTACTGCTTCACGGCAGAAATAGGCAGGGAAGTGAAACTTCTTTAGGCGCGTCGAGAATAAAATTTAACTCACGACAGATTCGTTACAGCTAAAGAGAACAGATACAATTTAGGAAGAGCGAGAGTGAGACAATAGACACAGCGTCTCGCGAACCATTCGACCGTGGAGAGAGGGAGAAAGCAAGCTAGGTCGTTATTTAGTTCAGCGACATCTATCGGATTTCATATAAACTAGTAGATTGCAAAGCAAACGGTGTAAACAGTTTAATTTCTAAACAATTTACAGAAACCGGTATTTTAAAGAAAAGTAGTATGATAAATTATCACTAAAAATATTCATATGTAAGCTTGTAGACTGTATGTTGTGTACGTGGCCATAGAGTAAGATTATAAATAAGAATGACATTGGCAATAACACACTCAGATAGAGAATTTGATCTTGACCGTGAAGTGCTTTATGAAATATTGGAAGTAAAAAACCTTTAATTGTCGATTTTTCTATTTTTAGGTGAATAGATTTACAATGTGTAAATGTTTATCAGTGTTTAATTTTATAATAACAATAAACTTTTCTATTTTTAGATAAATCAAATTTGCGTTATTTACTCCAGTATCATCTAACATATTACATATCATTTCTACTTATGTAAAACCAAAGAACTCATTCGGTAATTATCGAATACCGGTAACAACTTAATTCTAAGTTAATGTCATTTCTTGAGGTACGTTGAAGTTTCACTTCTTTCACATTCATCAAGTAGCACCAGTTTTAAAAGCCCATAGACATCAGCAACTTAAATGCCACCGCCTACCTTGAGACATGTGCCCCACCCTACAAGTCGAAACGCATTACTGCTTCACGACAGAAAGAGTCGGGCAGATGGTAGCTATGTGTGCTCACAATATGATAATGATTTACCTTTCGAAGCTCCCATCAGGAATCCTTGAGGTCCCACCTTGGAGCACGTCCAGCCCGGCACCGGCTCCTTCCACGAGGCGACGACTGGAGACAACACCAAGTGCTCATCATAAACTGACTCAAATCATAGGTATTTCCCGGTTTGATGCATGATCCATCAGGTCATCTGCTCTGCTAGATACAAAAACGTTGCTATCCTTGTCTATGTGTGTTCGGGCCAACGTCCTTGATTACTATCGAGGATTACAAACAGCTTTCAAAGTTTTCGAGAGCTTTTAAAATTGCCCCCTTAGAATTGAAGTGACCTACCTAATCCAAAATTCTTGTCTTTTAATACGCTTTTATTAGCTTCAGACGTATGTATGTTTGTAACGGAATCTTTGAACATGATTTTGACTCCCTTCAAAACGTCGGATTAACTCGAAATTTGGTATACTTATTAAGGACCGATGACAATTCAACATTAAAAAAAATATTAAAAAATTTAAACTCAACTAAAAAATGAAAAATAAATAATACTTTAAAAAATCTAACAAAATACGCTTTTATAGAAAATCCAACTACTAAATAGAAAATAAATTTTAATAAATTTGAATTAAAAAAAGTGTAAGAAAAAATGATTTTATTGTAGAAAAAGGCGTATTTTGTTAGTTTTTTAAACTATTATTTATTTGGTAAACGCCGAAAATGTAATTGAAGAATTGTAGTTTTTCAATTTTAATACTTTAAGCCTTAGGCGCACACCTTAAGCCTTAAGGCGCACACCTTAAGGCTTCAAGTAAGCGCCTGATTTAAAAGAGACGGTAAGTGTATTTTGTCCTTTTCTAGACTAAAATATAAATATGATTTTTAATTTTAAAAACTTATATTTATGAACTGATAGAATACATGTTTATAAGTTGTTCAAAGTATAAAACTAATTTTCTTAAAATGTTTAGTTAAGCCACTCCAATTCTAATGTTCAAAGTATAAAACTAATTTTCTTAAAATGTTTAGTTAAGCCACTCCAATTCTAATGTTCAAAGTATAAAACTAATTTTCTTAAAATGTTTAGTTAAGCCACTCCAATTCTAATGTTCAAAGTATAAAACTAATTTTCTTAAAATGTTTAGTTAAGCCACTCCAATTCTAATGTTCAAAGTATAAAACTAATTTTCTTAAAATGTTTAGTTAAGCCACTCCAATTCTAATGTTCAAAGTATAAAACTAATTTTCTTAAAATGTTTAGTTAAGCCACTCCAATTCTAATGTTCAAAGTATAAAACTAATTTTCTTAAAATGTTTAGTTAAGCCACTCTAATTCTAATGGTGCAAAATCAACTGTGAACTTCTACCCACACAATTCATTTAAAAAGGTATTAATGCTTCACATACTTCACAAAAAGCACATTACATGGGAATAACCAAAAATTTACTGCTTATTTTTTATTTATATATAATAGGTATAAAAAAGGTTGGCTTCTAGTCTCGTATAATATGGTTTCACACAACATGAAACTTAGAATGTATTTACTGTGTTGTAGGAAGGTTATCTGTACCTGCCACCTTCATAGGCTAAGACTATGAGACAGAGTACCTCAGACAGGAAGGCAGAAAACCAGTTAAACATTAACAAAGGTTACTATGAAGCCATCTTCTTCTATATATATAATGAATTTCTGTTCGTTAGTCTCGCTAAAACTCGAGAACGGCTGGATCGATTTGGCTAATTTTGGTCTTGAATTATTTGTGGAAGTCCAGAGAAAGTTTAAAAGGTAGATAAATATGAAAATGCTCGGAATTAAATAAAAATAACAATTTTGTTTTCCCTTTGATGTGTCACCCGTTGGACGAATTCCTTTTGTTTGTTATAAGTTTTTATTTATTTATTTTTATTGCCTTTGTAGGCAGACGACCATACGGCCCACCTGATGGTGAGTGGTTACCGTCGCCTATGGACTTCAGCAATGCCAAGGGCAGAGCCAAACCGCTGCCTACCGCAAAACCGTTTATATTATACAAAAGTTTAGGTCTTTTATTTATCGACTGAGGCACTACGAGGTCTGCCAGGTCAGCTGGTTAAGTCATACAAATATTTCAAAATAATTTCTTACTCATCGTTGGCCGGACTATGGTGCAAGGGAATAGCTCAGCACACTTCACCACCTCGTGCTCAGCCAGATGCTTTGTGAACGTGTAGGTGTTCGGATGATCTTTCAATATCCTATGGAGAAGATTTAAGTAGCACATATTAGTAGTGTTACTCGGTAACGAATTCACACTACCCATCAAACACGTAATGGAACACAATTTAAAAATAAACTGACAGCTTTGTACTGGTGGCAGGACCTTTTGTGAGTCCGCACGGGTAGGTACCACTGCCCTGTCAATTTCTGCCGTGAAGCGGTAATGCGTTTCGATTTGAAGGATGGGGCAGACATAGTAAATATACTGAGACCTTAGAACTTATATCTCAACGTGGGTGACGCATTTACGTCGTAAATGTCTATGGGCTTGAGTAACCACTTAACACCAGGTGGGCTGTGAGCTCGTCCACCCATCTAAGCAATAAAAAAAAGCTTCTAAATTTGATTTACATTAAGTACTGCTTCGGTTCAATGTCAAAACCCAGACATCTGAGTAAACACTCTTCAAGTACTTCAAGTTATAAGCTATTTGCCCTTTACATGTACAAGAAGTCTGAACAGCAGTATAACTTAGTCCTACTCTCTCTTCTCTTTCAGAGCAGTGAGAAAAGAATGCAACTGATATTTATTAGCGACGACAACCACTTAACGTCAGATTAGCCGTCTCCTCGTCTACTTATAAACGCAATAAAAGGAAAAATATCGGCCATCTCGCATCTAAATTTGCCATATTTTTTTTCCTGCCTAAGCTGAGAGCCTTGAGAGGCTATTTCAGCGTAACCTTAACTAGTAGGTGAGCTCACGGGGCTCAATCAAATCTGACGACGTTGCTAACACGAACCCTTGCAAGAGCCGTGCTTCGCAGAATCTACCACCGGATCGGAACCGCGACCCACTGAGAAGATCTGGCGAGAAACTCAGTGGGCTAAATCTGAAAGTTATTGTAATTAATACTCACTTGGGTTCAATTTCGTCTAAAGCTTCATCACTTAATGTACCGACAAGGGATATAACTTTCTCAACCTCCTCCGGCTCAGGGTACACCTTCTCGTGAGCTTCCGTTAAATAAGAATTGACATAGGCCGATGAAACGTGTATCATCACCTAGAAAAAATGTAAGAAGTTTATGACAGAATAGACAACAGTATTCATTTTCTGTATTAGTCAATCGCATTAGGAGTATATAGTATGCAATAAGATGCAGCTTGGCTATACATCTGGCATTGCCAATGTCCATGACCAATGTCAAGCACTCACCATTAAGTGACACTATTTGGAAACACTGACAATAACTATATCAACAAGTGAAAGGTTTTAGGCATTTTTGCAACTTTACAGGGGAGCCAATTAAAGTGTAAAATTGTATAATTACAAAGACAAATGTCATGTATATTAAGCAAAATTATTTAATTATTTGGGCCATCAAACCTAATAGCCTTTCACCACTCTATATATAACTACATATAAATGCATGTAAATTCTTAACTTTCAGAGCTTTCCATCAATAGTTTCTTTAAGTTGTGTTAACGAAATTAATGAACAATAACTTTACCTTCAAATTCTTAATCTCCTTACACAGCCCCATAACCTGCCTAGTTCCAAGAAGATTAATTCTAACAGTGGGCCTCAAATTCTCTTGAAAATCTAAAGTTGCCGCTGAATGTATAACCACATTGACATTCTCGATCAACAGCTGCCGGTCTTGAGGACTTAGGCCTAGATTCGCCTCACCGACATCTCCAGAGATCGGGACCAGCTTCTTGAAGATATCCGTTGTGTTTGTTTCTAGAAGCTTCTCAAATACCTAATAACAATTACTATATCAGTAATTAACAATTTGTATTAGGATCTGATATGTTTAGGTATAAAGGTATTCGGTAGGCAGCGACTTGGCTCTGCCCCTGGCATTGCTGAAGTCCATGGGCTACGGTAACTACTCACCATCAGGTGGCCCGTAAGCTTGTGTGCATACAAGGGCAATAAAAAAATCTTTATTACTTTAATATAAGGCAAGCAAGCTCATCGCCCAGGGTTTTAAGTTGATGCCTAAGCCCAAAGACGTTGTGAATTCCATCAGACACCTTGATATATGAGATTCAAGAACAAGTGGTATGGTATAACGGCTGTACTGAAACACACTGAAAAAAAATAACTGATTTGGGGCAGTCATGGTAGTACTCAATTTGGGCTCACAAGTCAACAAGTGATTTATGACCATAAAAATGTCTTATACAGGGCATGCTATTATTTATGTTGATTGGGCAATGAGTTTGTGGGTATTTGGTGTTAGCCGGACCACTAACACCATAGACCACTCAAATTTTTGGGTCGGAAGTCACAATATTAATAAAATAACTACCCCACTTTGACATATCGACGCTTGAAAGGCAAACATGACTAAGCGACAATGCGTGAACTTTACAGTTGACTAATTTAAAGTTGAAATACCTGAAAACAAAATTTATTTTAACGAATCTAGCTAGTAGCTGTAGGATTGAAAATATGATTTTAATAGACCTAGAAATTTTTTTTTTTGCGCATCGAATATAATTATTGCCTATCATTTATGTACAAAGCAGTTATTGTCGCTTAGTCATGTTTGCCTTTCAAGCGTCGATATTATTAATAAAAAACATGATTTAATTTCTCACCAGGTTTTTAGGAAACTCCTCTAATCGTTGAGATATTTCTTTTCCTTTCTTGGGTCTCATTAATAAGTAAACTTTGCCGACATCAGGAATGCATCTTAATATTTTCTCGATAAGACATAAACCGACAAAGCCGGTTCCGCCGGTTATGAAAAAGTTTTTCCCGCTATAAAAGGCGCGGACTAAGGACTCTTCCGTCATTTTATTGCGTCCTTCAGGTGTATCTTGACTAATCTAATGAAAAAAATGAACAATCACTCACTAATCGATTATAAAATTAAAAATCTATTTTTGAATGGGAAATACAACATTCATTCACTAATTGATTATAAATTGAATAATCTATTTTTATTTCGGAAATACAACGGCTCAGTACCTTCCCTCTATTCGTCAACTGTGTTTCTTTTTTGAGTTTTTTGTTTAGTATCTAGATTTTTTTGAAAATAAAACAATTTTCCCAATTAAAAAAACAATAAAAACAATTTTATACACTAAATGAATAAAAATCTTCAATCATCGATTATAGTCGACTTCGATCATTGGGCGAACACTAAAACTAGTAAGATAAGTACATTTAAAGAATTTTATTAATTCATTTGATTATCTACCGGTGATTTGTATTTTGTAGCTACCGGTTGTTTTCTATGTTGTTTTGAGATATTTTGACAGCTGGACAAGTTTGACAATGACAGCTAATAGGTTGTGTGATATATTGCAAAGGGCGTTAGAGCATAATAGTAAACTTATAATTTGAAATAAGTATAGTTGTTAAAATTTACAATTTAATAAAAGGGCATAATTAGCTTTGAATTTTTGCAGTTTTAACTTAGATTATTTTGACTTCATTGTGAAACTTAAATATAAACAAAACAGGCCACGGAGAACCTAATCGCGATCTCGCTTATAGCTTTCCGCCCGTAACTTTGCCCAAATGGACTACAACATATCGCGTGGATGGAGATCCGTACGCGTGGGATCAAAGATAGTATAACCTATATTTATTCCCAGGATTAAAACTTTTTTAGTTTAGTTCGGTTTTCGGCTCACCTGATATAAAGTGATTGCAGAATCCATAGAATAGTGGCTCTCTCACCACCCCTTCAAATCGGAACGACTAGTAAAAATGAGATAAATATATCTACTCTAGCTAACAATACATTCTACTACAGCCTAAGTTTTCATACTAAAATTCACCAGTCGTTTCAAGGGCTTAGTCATGAAAATGTAACAAAGCTCGAGTTACTGTGGCTTTAAGAAAACATTATGAAATGACGATAACTTCTTTTCATACGCCTTTTTGTGTGTACAAACGTTCACACAGAAAGGAATTAAAAAAACTCTCCTTCAAGTTCTATTACTGTTCTTTACTTACCTCCTTTTTTAATACTTTTGTTTCAATGTAAATCGGGATTTTAATATGTTTAATGAATGTATTAATTATGTGAAAAATATCTCCCAGCGACTGTCACTCTTTGGGAGATTATGCTGAACACAAAAATAATAGATTAAGTATTATTTTATGTTCGAATTAAATGCAGAAATTGTGCAATGAAAACTTTTTAAAAAACCATTAACCTACAAAACACAAGACTTATTTACATAAAATTGACAAACACATCAAGCAAGCTATTATGCAACATGTGTGAGCTCACTTCATACTTCACACGTCCAAAACATGTTTATTTCCCTTCAAAACAGTCGTAGGGCTGCCATTTTTGTTTATTGCTTATAGTGGTGGACGAGGTCACAGTCCACTTGGTGTTAAATAAGTTCTAAGATCTTAGTATAGTTACAACGGCCGCCCTACCCTTCAAGCCGAAACGCATTACTGCTTCACGGCAGAAATAGGCAGGGCGGTAGTACCTACCCGCGCAGACTCACAAGAGATCCTACCCGTAGCTTTCGCGACAGCAACAGGCACGGTTCTATCGCTCCGTTCTACTGCGAAGTGTCCAGCGTTCTGGTCTGAAGGGCGTTAAAACTGTTATACAATATTTATAATTATGACTTAGAACTCAGATCTCTATCTTGTGACTTAATGGCTTCCGGAAACCTTAAATTGACACGTCTAGTCCAGTGATTGTTAACCGCGGTACCTACTGACAAATTAACTTTATATTTGTCTGCAATCACATTTTGATGGCATTAAAGTGTGTCAAGACAAATAAAAAGGTTGAGAATCACTGTTCTAGGGTTCCGTATCATAAAAATAGACCTGATTTGATTATTTACGGGCTACTAGTTCGATTAAAGACGAAGTTTTTCCGTAAAACCTGACTTAAAATATCCACAGGGCGATTGTTTACCCAGCTCCTAAAATCCTATAATAGATTATTTACGTACACGTTCGGTCTTTTTTCACCCTTGGACGGGCAATAACCCAGTCATATATTGCGATAGGTAGATGTTACATGCCAATCTTGAATTGAGTGTATTTTAATTAAAAGTCGTCGTGGTCTTTAGACCTTTAAGATAGGTCCTTTAGGATAGGATTTATATTCTTTAGGATAGGTCCGGTGCATTCGTGTCGAGCGATGCATCGGTGTTCGAATTCCTCACGCGGGTACCAATTTTTGTAATGAAATACGTACTTAACAATAGACTTGCGCAAAACATCACTTCCCAATGTAATGTGATATGACATCACTTTTACAGACAGGTGATATTACTCGAAAACATTACACATCACTCTTAACATTACTTGGTGCGTTCAATAGATACTGTGACGACGAATGCATTGTATCTATACACCCGAATCATTACCTAAGTGATGTGAAACCCAAAAATTAATATGAAATATTACTAAACAATTACGAGCGACTAGCGATTTTACAAAAGTTGCGAATAAAAAATTAAGTAAGTACTTGCGGGGAACTACCGGCTGGGCGCATGAAAAAATGTGTGCGTGTACTAGTGTACACACGTAAGAAGTGAAACATTAATGCTACCTAGCGGCAAACGTAGGTAAACGTTCCAACTCTATGCAAATTTAAGTTAACTTTTACGCTATCGTGAACGTTAAAAAACTCGCACTAAGCACAGAGAATCGGTCATTATACGATAATTTAACTTTTTAGATGTTCGTTTTGCACTTGAACATTGTACATAGGCACACAACGCACGTTGAATTGTTGATTTATCAATTATCGAGTCGCGATTAACGAAGTTATAACCATGAAAATCCGGTTCAATTATAAACAGCCGTCATTTTGTACATTAAATATGATGATGTAGTTCAAAATATTAGACGGAATTTAGTATTTATTTGTTTTTTTTTCGTTTTTTTTCTACCTAGTTGATGTTAATTAGCTTTTTACGATGCCATTGTGTCAGTGTCTAGAATATAAATATCTTTATTTAATATACGTAAAGACTAAATTAAAAATGAACCGAAATTAAATAACGTTTATTTCTTTGAAATAGTCTTCGATCAATAAGGAATAGTAATCTGATGGATCCACCTGGAGACATGAGTCTATGCTGATAGCCTTGCGAGAATATTTCAGCTTCACCCTAACATGTGTAGGTGAGCTCACGGGGCTCAAACCGGGAGTGTTGCTAGCCCTAGCAAGAGCAGTGCTTCGCGGAATCTACCGCCGGATCGGAAACGCGACCCAATGAGAAGATCCGGCGAGATCTCTCGAAGTCACTAGAATAGGACAAAAGCCGGTGACCCACACGGCGGTCATAGAGTTACGATTTTAGTATGTATTCCCTTCGGTATTCGCGATTTTTCGAATCAAGACCGCTTTTATTGTTTTTGTTGGCATTATATTATTACTCCGAATACTTTACAGTTTCCGTGCTTCACGGATGAGTGAGCAGTAATTTAATTTTTTTCCTGCCTATGCTGATAGCCTTGAGGGGCTATATCAGCTTTATACTAGCTTATAGGTGAGCTCACGTAGCTGAGCCTGAGGTGTTTCTAACACTAGCCCTAGCAAGAGCAGTGCTTCACAGAATCTACTACCGGATCGAAAACGCGACCCACTGAGAAGGTACGGCGAGAAACTCAGTGAACTGTCTTTTTTTTTTTTTTTATTGCCCTTGTAGGCAGACGAGCATACGGCCCACCTGATGGTGAGTGGTTACCGTCGCCCATGGACTTCAGCAATGCCAGGGGCAGAGCCAAGCCGCTGCCTACCGCTTAATACTCTCCACAAGCCTCGTTTGAAGAAGGACATGTCATAGCGCTCGGGAAACACCGTGGAGGGGAGCTCATTCCATANAGTGGTTACCGTCGCCCATGGACTTCAGCAATGCCAGGGGCAGAGCCAAGCCGCTGCCTACCGCTTAATACTCTCCACAAGCCTCGTTTGAAGAAGGACATGTCATAGCGCTCGGGAAACACCGTGGAGGGGAGCTCATTCCATAGCCGGATGGTACGTGGCAAAAAAGATCTCTGGAAACGCACTGTGGATGACCGCAGTGTCTATCTATGGGTTAATTTACTCGCCGAGCCCTTCGTCGCAAGCGACGGGTTCGGTGAGTACGGTGACCGGTGCTTGAGGTACCTAAAAGCACCGTTAACGAATCGGGAGGATCCTTGACAGTCACTTAATACAATATTAGTAAGAACGGTTCTAATTAGACGACTCCTTTCTTTCATCTACAGTTTAATTGGAAACCATTTGTAGATTTGTTCCGAATCAACGAAATCATATTCAAATGCACCTACGTAAAATAACCCGTCATAGAATGTGAAATATGAGATCATTGACCGCGAATGGAAGTCCGTTAGTAACTGTTCATCACTTTCTAACAAGGCATTTTACTGATGCATTGAATTTTTGTGATCTATTCCGATGTACTTAAGGGTACTTAGATTTTAGAAAAGTATTAAAGAACATCTGTGCAATAAAGCTTACTATAAATTCAATGATTATCTAGAAGATTGCACAAAGCGGGAATGAGTTGCTCGCTCCGGGCATTTCAATATTGCAATAATTGTTACGTTATAATACCTATTGTAAAATGAATATTTAAAAAAATCTAAAATAAAAAAAAATATAATCTAATATTTAAAAAAAGATATGCCCACTGAGCTTCTTGCCAGTTCTTCTCAGGACGGAGGCTAGTTTTTGTGAATTGGCGGTAGTTCTTTTTGACGTTCAACAAGAATGTACAATCAAATCAAATATTTTTTTATTCATGTTGAATAAAAAAATATTTGATTTGATTGGCACGCCGAAATTTTTAAA